TTTATTTGTTTTGTCTTTATTTGTGTAGCAATATGTGATTTTGGCTGGGGCTAACTAACTCTATGTAGGCAAACTAGAGCTGAGAGAGATAGAGATATTTATTTAGTATTTTTCTTTGCTCGAACTTAATTACTTTCCACAAAATGATTTCAAATTACAATAGTACTCCCTCTATTTCAAAATATAAGTTGTTTTAGCAAAAAACACGGATATTAAGAAATTACTTTTCAACTAAAAAATATTATTTAATATATCTAATAAAAATAATTTGACCAATCACACAAAAGACTGCAAAATACTAATGGTCACACAATATTCAATAAAGTTAAAAGTACCTAGTATTGTCAAAACAACTTACATTTTGAAACAAAAATAAAACTCTAAAACAACTTATATATTGAAACGGAGAGAGTATATTTTAGCTTTACAAGAAAAGGACAAGCCAATGTCATCATATTCTTTATGATATTTTATCTGTCTTTTATTAAAAAATAATTTTTTAAAAGAAAGAGAATCAGTGTGTACTCCAAATTCAAATACAGTACACAACGACAATAAGGGACCGGAAATTGGTAGTTTACGGTTGGGAAGATTTTTTTTACTCGCAATGACTTTGCATTCAATTTGTGAAATTTTCTTTGTTTGGTTTAATTTATTTACAGTTCCACACGTTAAATTTAATGATTTGGTTCTATGGCAGATTTCCAGACATTCACGTTATTATTTGTACTACTCGGGTAATTTAGCTCAAATCTCTTTCAGGTTATATTTTTATTCATTTTAGTTTGATCCTGGTTTTTGGGCCTAAAACTTATCCATTATAGATTAGCGAAATACGCTTTGACAAAGAATAGTACTCTCTCTCATTCTAATTTTTTTTTATATATTTTCTATGTATTTTTATAAAAAAATGACGATAAATTATAAATTTTAAAATATGTTATTTGAAAGTAATTACTTTTATTGAATTATTAGTAGTTTAAAGTTATAAAAAATGTTTATTACAAAAAAATAATGTATTTCTAATTAAATATTTTTTATTAAATGATTTTTTTTAAAACATCTAATAATTAAAAATGAACGGAGTATTAAACAACTGAAAAACAAAGAAAAAAATGAATTTTGTTATATCGCCTAGTATTTAAAGACAAGCTTTTATATTTAGACATTACATCATACGGATATACATAGTTATAGCCTTATATAAATACTGTAAGTGCATATCAAGTGTTGTAGTAATTTAAAGATCGAATCTATGAAAACTAAATCTCACACTGTGAATCTTTAAGAGTGAAAATTAAGTTAAGATAGAAATATGATGTTGACTGAAATTTAAAACGAAAATAACTATTAAAACGGTGTACAATCAATTAAAACAAGGGGGATTGCAAAAATACCACTTTTGGTGTGTCACTTTGCAAAAGTGTTACAATAGGTTGTCCATTTGCAAAAATGCCACTAATTATGGATTTTTAAAGCCTAAAACTTAAAATTCTAAATCCTAAAAAATGTTTTGACCCATAACAAACCTTAAACCCTAAAAAATGTTTTGACCCCCTAACAAACCTTAAGCCCTCAAAACTAAAACCTAATACTACAATATAGTTAACCCAAATATAAATAATATTATAAATCAATAATTTTGAAAAAATGGTATTTTTGCAAAGATTTTGAAAATGTGGCATTTTTGAAAACCAGCATTTCTCAAATTTTCTCTTAAAACAAGCGTTAGATCAAGGGCAATATGCAGGAATTCATAGATCATAAATCATACAATTATTCAGGAAACAAATAAGCACAGTCTAGAACTCAAACATGAATGTGTAACCAATCTATTATCGTGCTATCAATCAATTTATCTAGTAACTTAAGATTCTAAATTATCGTTTGAACATAATGTTCTAAAAAAGCATTAATGAGCATGTTCGATTTGTTAAAGAATTGCCTTAACATCAATTTTCCCTCGCTAATGATAATTCGCTCACATATGTTTTATCAGGCAATCTATAACACTTTTGTTGAATAGATTAAACCTTAAATCATAGACTAAGTGACAATAAGAACAACAATGGTGAAGACAACATATGATATATAAATCCCTATCTATGTCTAATTCAATGATTCATAAACTCGCTC